GGTGAAAGGAAAGGGGGAAAATTAAAGGGAAAAGGGGAGAAGGTGAAGGAAAAGGGAAAAAATTGAAGGGAAAAGGGGAGAAGAGAAAGGAAAAGGGGAGAAGGGGAAAAGGGGGAGAAGGGGAAGGGAAAGGGAAGAAGGGGAAAGAAAAAGGGGAGGAAATAAGGGAAAAAGAGGAGGAGATATTAAGGAAAAAGGGGAGGAGATGAAGGGAAAAGGGAACGAGGGGAAGGGAAAAGGGGATGAGGGGAAGGAAAAGGGAAGAAGGGGAAGGGAAAAGGGAAAAAGAAGGGAAAAGGGAACAAGGGGAAGGAAAAGGGAACAAGGGGAAGAGAAAAGGGAAAAAGGAATGAGGGGAAGAAAAAGGGAACGAGGGGAAGGAAAAGGGAACGAGGGGAAGGAAAAAGGGAATGAGGGGAAGGAAAAGGGAACGAGGGGAAGGAAAAAGGGAACAAGGGGAAGGAAAAGGGAAGAAGGGGAAGGAAAACAGGAACAAGGTGAACTTGGAGTCGGAGCAGAGCAGCCCAAAAGCCCGGGAATGGGAATGCTCAAGCCCCACCCAGTGGGATTTGGGGGGAAAACGGGATCCAAACCGGGATATTTGACCACCCGGACGGTCGATCCCTCCGGAGTTCTATTCCCGGAGGGAATCCCGCCGCGTTCCCGAGGCTCACCTGGGTGGGAGGGACGGGTGAGGGCTGGTGGGAGCCAGAGGAGGATTTTTCCAGGGCGTTCAGGCGGCTCTCCAGCTTGAAGATGGCCATCTGCAGGTCGGAGACCACTGGGAAAAGGAGGGAAAAATCGGGAAAAGCCACTCAAATTTTCCCAGATCCGGGCGGGATTCCGAGGCGGGACGAGGATTTTCCCCACTCACCGCTGCGGAGGTTTTGGTTTTCCACTTCCAGGTGGGAAATCCGGGCCAGGAGCTCGTTCTGGTCGCCGGCGGCTCCGGAGGCGCTGCCGCTCTGGAAGGAGGAGGAAAAGTGGGATGAGGCGGAGCCGGTTCCGCCCGTTTTCCCGAAAATTCCACGCGGCAAAACCCGGGGGGGAGGAGGGAATTGAAGAGCTTGAACTAAAAAACGTGGATGTTTTCCCCTCAAAGGGTTTTATAAAATCGGGATAGGGAATAAAGGGGCTCCAGGACGGGATAAATCCCGAGGGATTCCAGCCGGTACTAAGGATAAAGTGACTTTTCCCGCTCTTTTGCCATGGAAAACATGGAAAACTGATCCCAAATTTCACACCAAACCCCCTTAAAAATCTTGGAATCCCTCAGTCTCCTTCCTCTCCCAACAAACGGAGTCACTGGGAAAGGCAGGAAGAGATCCCAGGATTTCTACATTCCCAAATTCCCGGCCCAGCTTTTCATTCAGAACAATTTAAACCCCACAAATCCCGAGGGAATAATGTGATCCCGAGGATTCCAATGGATTTTTTTGGGGAGGCAATAAAGAGCTTTTTGTTTTGTTTTATTAAGGAGGTTCCTCATCCAGCGATTCCGAGGAGCAAAGGGAAGGAAAACAACGGGAGAGTTTCGTTTCCAAGGGAATAGAAACAGGGGGAATAATTTATCCCACATGGAATTCCAAAGAGATCTCACTTGGGATGGAGAGAAAACAGGGAGAAGAGGAAGAATATGAGGAGCAGGGAAAGGAAAAAGCAGGGCCTGGATCCCAGAAATCCGGGAACGGTTTGGGATGGAAGGGACCGGAAAGATGATCCCGTTCCCATGGAAAGGGAAAACTTCCACCATTCCAGGCTGCTCCAATCCGGCCTTGGACACTTCCAGGGATGGGGCTGGAGATTCCTGGAGTGGGAAGGTCTCCAGGGAGACCCTTCTCCAGAAATTCCACCTTTTCCAAGTGGAATTCCAGGAATTCCGGCGCGAATCCCCGACCCGGGAGCCGGGAGACCTCAAATCCCGAGATCTCAGCCCCAGGATTATTCAGGAGAGGGAGAGGCGGATCCATCCCCAGGGACTGGGAAGGAGCCTCCTCATCCCAACCGGATCCTGTCCCATTCCCTTGGAAAACTTACGGAGGAGCGTCCCGGCTGCTTCCGGGCACGGCCACAGGGAACGTCCCGGCTCCGAGCAGGAGGAGCAGGAGCAGGAGCAGGAGCAGGAGGAGGAGGAGGAAGAGGAGTCTTCTGCTGCAGGGAGCGGAAAAGTTTGGGAAGAGGGGAAAAGTTTGGGAAGGCAGGGAAAGTTGGGTAAAGTTTGGGAAGACGGGAAAGGTTTGGGAGGAGGGAAAAGTTTGAGAAGATGGGAAAGGCTTGGGAAAAGTTTGGGAAGACAGGAAAGGTTTGGGAAGGCAGGAAAAGTTTGGGAAGAAGGAAAGGTTTAGGAAGAAGGAAAGGTTTGGGAAAAGTTGGGGAAGACGGGAGAAGTTTGGGAAGGCACGAAAAGTTTGGGAAGACAGACAGGAAAAGTTTGGGAAGAGGGGAAAAGTTTGGAAAGATGGAAAGGTTTGGGAAGAAGGAAAAGTTTGGGAAGACGGGAAAGGTTTGGGAGGAGGGAAAAGTTTGAGAAGATGGGAAAGGCTTGGGAAAAGTTTGGGAAGAAAGGAAAGGTGTGGGAAGAAGGAAAAGCTTGGGAAGATGGGAAAAGTTGGGAAAAGTTTGGAAAGACAGGGAAAAGGGAATGATGTGGGAAGATGGGAAAAGTGTAGGAAGAGGGGAAAGGTTTGGGAAGATGGGAAAGGTTTGGGAAGAGGGAAAAGTTTGGGAAGATGGGAAAAGTTGGGGAAAAGTTTGGGAAGAGGGGAAGGTTTGGGAAGAGGGAAAAGTTTGGGAAGAAGGAAAAGTTTGGGAAGGTGGGAAAAGCTGGGCAAGGAGGAAAAGGTTTGGGAAGACATGGAAAAGTTTGGGAAGAGGGAACGATGTGGGAAGATGGGAAAAGTGTGGGAAGAGGGGAAAGGTTTGGGAAGAAGGAAAAGTTTGGGAAGACAGGAAAGGTTTGGGAAGAGGGAAAAGTTTGGGAAGACAGGAAAGGTTTGGGAAGGCAGGAAAAGTTTGGGAAGACAGGAAAGGTTTGGGAAGGCACAAAAAGTTTGGGAAGACAGGAAAGGTTTGGGAAGGCAGGAAAAGTCTGGGAAGAAGGAAAGGTTTAGGAAGAAGGAAAGGTTTGGGAAAAGTTGGGGAAGACGGGAAAAGTTTGGGAAGGCACAAAAAGTTTGGGAAGACAGACAGGAAAAGTTTGGGAAGAGGGGAAAAGTTTGGAAAGATGGAAAGGTTTGGGAAGATGGGAAAAGTTTGGGATGACAGACAGGAAAAGTGTGGGAAGACGGGAAAGGTTTGGGAAGAGGGGAAAAGTATGGGAAGATGGGGAAAGTTGGAAAAAGTTTGGGAAGACGGGAAAAGTTTGGGAAGAGGGGAAAGGTTTGGGAAAAGTTTGGGAAGAGGGGAAAAGTTTGGGAAGACAGGAAATGTTTGGGAAGATGGGAAAAATGTGGGAAAAGTTTGGGAAGATGGGAAAAAGTCTGGGAAGGCAGGAAAGGTTTGGGAAAAGTTTGGGAAGGTGGGAAAAGTTTGGGAAGGTAGGAAAAGGGCTTCCCCACTCGGAGGCAGCTCAAGGGCGGGAAAGATCCACATGCAGGGAAAAGTCTTGGAAAAGTCTTGGAGCAGGGGGGATGTGGAGCACCCGGAGCACAAACATTCCTCCAGGAATTCCAGAGGCTTCTCTTGCATCTGAACTAAAGGAGCAGCTCCGGGATGGAACAAATCCCGAGGGATTCCAGTTGGCACCGAGGATAAAGTCGTTTTTCCCGGCCTTGGATCCCCAAAATGCCACGGAAAACATGGAAAACTCGACCCCAAATCTCACACCAAGCCCCTTAAAAAAATCTTGGAATGCTTTGGAATCTTGGAGCCCGTGGGAAGTTCCTGCAGCACTCAGGGATCATCCCTGGGGCACCAGGGATAAAAATCATGGAATGGCAGAGGCGGGAAAAGCCTCTGGAGTCCATCCCAGCGTTCCCCAATCCCTGTTCTCAGGTGCCACATCCACGTCCCAAATCCTGGGATCCATCCCAAACCCTGGGATCCATCCCAAATCCTGGGATCCATCCCAAATCCTGAGATCCGCAGGGATCCACGATCCCACCGGGGATGGCGGCGACTCCACCCTCGGGCCGGGGTGAAAATTCCAGGAAGGAATTTTCCCAATATTCCACCAGAACCTCCCCCGGAACAACCTGGAACTGTTTCCTCTCATCCCGTCCCTCGTTCTCTGGGAGCAATTCCCAAATCCCACCCGGCTCCACCTTCCCATCAGGGAATTTTTGGGAACAAGGTCCCTCCCGATCCCTCTTTTCTCCAGGATGAGCCTTTCCAGCTCCCTCGGGAAGTTTTCCAAACCCTTCCCAGCTCCGTTCCCAACCCTGGACACGCTCCAGCCCCTCGGGATCTTCCTTGTCATTAAACATCCCAGTAAATCCCAAAAAATCCCTGATCCCAGGATTTGAGGGGCCTCAGCACAGGGAGAGGACACTTTTATTCCCTGTTAATCATAATCCCACAAAAAAAGAGGGAAGAAGGAAGGGATTCAGGGTCTCCAATTGGAATTCCTCCCTTTCCCAAATCATGGAGTAAGAGGAGCATCCAGGTCTCAAAAATCCTGGGATCTGGTCAAGCCACAAGCTCAGAAATCATGGAAAAGTTGCCTCTGTGGGATCTTCCCTGAGGGAAGGATGATCCATGCCTTGGGAAAATGGGATCACCAGCCCACATCCCACTCCCCAGCTTCCCAAATTTTTCCCAACTTTTCCCATCTTCCCGAAGTTTTCCTGCCTTCCCAAACTTTTCCTTCTTCCCACACTTTCCCCCTCTTCCCAAACCTTTCCCATCTTCCTAAACTTTTCCCAACTTTTCCCATCTTTCCGAAGTTTTCCCCTCTTCCCAAACTTTTCCCCTTTTCCCAAATTTTCCTATCTTCCCACACTTTTCCCTCTCCCAGCTCCACAAGAAGTTCCATACAAGTGCCTGGGAATTTTACCAAGGATAAGAATTCCCAAATTCCCAAGGTGGGGAATTCCACAGCGATTTCTCCTGGATGGAACCCCTCAATCCCAAATTTTTTAGTCCCAATTTTGGGGCTGAGCCCATCCCAAAAACATCCTGCGCTTGGAATAATGCCAGGATTCCACTGGAATTCCGTCATCCCAGCAAACTGAATCCCTAGGAATTCTGAAGGCTGCAAAACAGGATCCCAAGCCGAGGAAAGTAGGGATGGAAACATGTTCTTTTCCCGAAAATTTGGCTCCCTAAATACAGATCAAACAGCAGAGATCAAAGCTTTTCCTCATGAAAATTCCTGGTTTTCCCAATAATTGAGGTGCTCCAAGCTGAATTCCCTGGAAAACCCCATTCCTTTGCACATGCCCTAAAAACTGGAGGGGAAACAGGGAAGAGAAGGTGGATCCCAAAAAAAGCCACATTCCAGCACTTCCCTACTCAGCCAAGATCTGTGGGAACATCCCAG